TCCGCAGGCATCCCAAATGCACCCACCACCACAACACTATCCAACACACAACCAACCGAACTACTCGTTATCGTCTTCATACTGTTTGTTCACTAACCTACTTATCCACTAACTTACCTATCCACTAATTTGCTTCCCTAATTTGCTTCGCTATTATCGCTTTCAATACCGTTCTTTCTACTTGGGTTGTTGTACTCTTAGCTTCTTCGCGTCTGTAGTCTTCTTTGCTTCCGTTCAACGGACAGAACAAAAATCAAACACAAAAAACTTGCAACCGAAATTTGAGACTCGCGAACCTGCGCTCAGTCAAGACAACCCGATGTCCGCGATTCAATCCCCGCAGACGCGCACACGCAACCGCGTCACTACCTTGACATCCCACGCACGGGCGGTTGTCTCCGAAGCTGTGACAAAACAAAATGACGCCGCAAACAAACCCGAATGAACGCTGTACCGAATGAACTCTGAACCACAGAATGCTAGATGGGCTCAAGCCAAAGAGATGCGAGCCAAAGAGACACGCAAAAGAGTTCGGCAAAGGGGCGGGGGGTGCAAAAAAGTTGTTCAAGCGCAGGAGGCATATCGATCCGGTGTTTTGACAGTAGCTCAGCTCCAGAGATCGGTTCAGTAGGTTTGCGGTTCGATTCCGTTATCGTCGCCAGCCGGCGGGTCCGTGGTAGATGGCATGAGCAGCGCGGTCGGCTTCAGGTTTATTGATGCGCGCAGTCGCGTGTGGAGCGGAACCAGAACCGGCGCGAGCGACGGAGCGAGCCCCGGCTGGTTCGCTGGGGGTCCTTGAAGCGGTCTGGGCGCTGCCGGAGCGGCGTAGTGGGCGTGGCGTGATGCTGGGCGGGCGCGTGCTGGGCACACGTACACTTGATGCACGCGCGAGTCCGGAAATGCCCGTAGTGGTTCCGGCGTCGGCCGTTGTATTTTTCTTACCGCCGTCGGCCGTTGTATTTTTCTTACCGCCTATAGTTTTGTTGCCAGTGGTTCCCGAGATGGGACTTGATATTTTTCCCGGACTTGTTGCGAGGGGGATCGCCGCGGACTTGCCGGTGTTTGATAACGATGTGGCCGGGTCGTGAACTGATGTTGGTTTCGTAGGTGACGGCATGTGGTTGGCTGCGATAGAGGAGGTCGTTCCAGCAGTCGGTTTGATGAGTGAGTTGTGGGAAGTTGACACGGCGACATGAGGCGATATAGCTGGGATGAATGGGTCGGTCCATGGAGGACTTTGCAAGCTGTCCGTCAACCCAGCCATCTGCTTCGGTCAAGGGATGCTCCTTTGGTCCGCGGGTTTGTACGATGTCGTTTGGGGTGTAAAGACAGTACTCTCCATTTTCATTGCGCAACAACCCGTCCTGAACGTTCCACATCACTCGTTCCATATCCATGAAAGGGTTCCGGTACCCCGGCACACCCGGCATACGTACCTGCGGTGCTGGCAGGCCCGGACTCGGCTCAAGTAAATTTAGCGTGAATCGCGGAGCCGCACCTGCCACTTGCTTCAGCCATGGTTCCAATTCCAGAGCCATGAAGTGTTGCCACGATGCGGCACTACTATTGTCCTGCATGGCACCTGGTATTGAGAAGTAATCCTCTGGCACGATCCCGACTTTGGTTGTGTCCAGCTTTTCGCCGTTCGCCAACGCGTCTAGGTTGCTCGATGTCAGGTAGAAAGGCATGGACGCCAGCGTCTTTTCGTCAAACAACTCTTCCGCCAATGCTGTCACACAACGGAACATGTTCAGAGCCTCCTTACGACCCAACTCGCACAAAAAGGTACGCAGTTCCTCCTCTGCGGTCGCCAAGTCTCCCACCATGTCCATCAAACTTCCCAGATCTTTACGACTGCCACGCTCTTTCGCGAGATCCTTACGACTACCGCCCAAGTTACCTCTACTACCACCCAAGTTGGTACGGCTACCAGCTAAATTACTACCAACGCTACTGTAGCGACCGACATGGGAACTTCGTTTCAGACGGTTGATGTCATTGATCAAGTTCTTGACGCGTTTCAGATCCTCCTGACCCTTTTCGTTGTCCTGGTCGGCGAGACTGAGCATCTTTTGCACGTAGATCATCATACGGTCGAAGTGATCCGGGGATTTGAGAGTTAGAACTACCCGCAGGTTGCTAGAGGTAGAAAGACTGGTCGCCGCGTCGCAGCCATCATCGGTCTCGATGCTAAATAGTTCCTTGAACAGGAAGCCGATCACGGACTTTAGGAGGGGATACTCCTGTTGTCGGTCGAGTTCGAGAATAAAAGCGTCTCCAAGGAAACAGTCGACGATATGTGGAATGGCATTGAAATAATCAAGCGGCATGAACATCAGTAAGTCCTGAACCTGATTAACCACGGACTTAAAACTACCCATAACGTTTGCCAGTAGTGTGCGGGAGGCCCCATGTGGCGTATTCGCATTGCTGACAGCGTCTTGTGACAACAACTTGACATTATTCATAAGACGACCCGTCGACTGCTCTAATTTACTCCACTTAGCCCCACAATCCGCAGTTTGTCGAATCTGGTTCTTCGCCTCCAGCATACAACCTAATAACCTGTTACCTGCCGTACCCTTGGTCCGACCTTCATTGGCCGCTTGATGCCTCGCTAACTCCTTGGCGTTCCTCTCATCATTGAACTTCAATAACTCGCCTTCCAACAAATTAAAGAACTTCAACAACGCACTGTCGTCATTCGCAGACGCCGGACGCGGCTTAGAGTCATTCACTAAACGCAACGACCCCAACAAACGAGGATCAACCACTCCACGCTCAACCAATAACGACTTCCAACGTAATGTCGCTCGTTGGAGTACACTCTGCGGCAACATACCCTTCGCCGTTACACAAAACGCGGCCACTAACGCCGCGTCCATACCTGCTACTTCACTCGTACTCGTTATCGTCTTCATCGAACACTAAATCTCTCACTATACCTTCCTTTCGTCTCAACTGGCAGGTCAATCTCTCGATGCAATTGACTACCTTTTTAAACTAGGGCTCTTCTCAAACACTCACTACTCACTCAGCTTCTTGAACCACCTGTTTGTTAACCTTGTTAGCACAAAAAAGTCCGAAACGTTCTTCCAAAATTTTCGAGTTTTTTTTTACCACCGTTACTGGGCCAAAGGGCGAAAAACTGGCTATTTGGGATGCTGCACACATGGCCTCATCGATGAGGAGGGCAACACGGCCTCATCGATCAGGAGGGCAACACGGCCTCATCGATCAGGAGGGCAACACGGCCTCATCGATGAGAGGGGGGGGGGAGCTTTCATTCACAAGGGTTCGACTGAACGTAGGGTGCCGCCCTTATATTTCGGTGTGCGGTAGAGAAGATTGGCCCAGCAGTCGGAGTGGCCTGTGAGGTCGGCGAAGCGGACACGACCACGGAGTCCGACGAACCGCGGGTCAATTTCTTCCCGGCATCCGACGGGTTGTAGCACGGGTGTGCGGACGGGCGATTGGCCCATGATGCGGCGTATGAGTGAAAGCCCGGCGGCCTTAGCATTCACTTGGCGACGAACGGACGCTCCCAACGATGAACGCTCTCGGGCCAAACGCCGGGTCGCCGCATTTGGTAGTCGCCGTAACGAGTGGAACGTGTGCCGCCGGTCCAGGTCCGTCGAAGTTTCGGGGCCGGATACGGAAGCCGTCCCTGGAGGTACAGCACCCGAGACCGGTATTGTTCCCGCACTTGTGGTCTTGCCGGTAGTTCTCTCGGCGGGTTCATGAGTGGGTTCATGGGCCGCTTCGAGTCTAGTGGCCGAGGGCAAACAGAGATCACCTTCCTCATTCCGCAAGACCAAGCTTCGTTCGGATCTACTCTCTTGCCACTCGGTGGGCTCACTACTGACGAACGGGTTGTGGTACACCTCTCTCTTCGGATTGAATTCCGACATCTTGAGGGGTTTTGGAGTCTTTGCTTCCACCGTCTTTGGTTTTTTGAGTTCTCCGTCCTTAGCGGTGATAGGGCCGATCTTGTACTGGGCGAGTCTATTAAGCCAAGGGTAGAGGTCAGATACGAGACGTTCATTCCAGACCTCTGCCAGGTCGGCTACACGAGGGTTGGGAAATCCGACTTCTTGCGTGTCCAGGACTTCACCAGCGGTGAGCCGGTCGATGTCTGTCTGCGTGAGGTAATAGGGCAGCTGGGCGAGCTGGTCGTCAGAGAGCAATGTGCCAGCAACCCCACATACGCCTCGGTAGAGGTTGACTAACTCGTTACGTGCCTGCCGCTGCTCGGCCGCGTACGCCCGCAATGCCGAGTCCAGACTCTCCTGACAGTCGCTGTCTTCGCGGCCGAAACCAAAATTACGACCAAGCCCGAGACCCAGGCTGCTCAGCCCCACACTTCCCTTGCGCAGACCCAAACTGCCCCTGCGCTCAGTCAACCCCAGGCTGTTCTTGCGACCATTGGCGTTTAGATGAGCGAGACCCGAGTGGTCCAAACTGGCCTTGCGGCCCAAGTTGACCATGCGGGTCAGGCTCGGCCTTCGGCCCAGCAGGTCCAGACTGGCCCTGCGGCCGAAGGCTCTAAGCCGGTCGAGTCGGCTGGGCTCTTGTAACATTTCATCCTGCTCAGCCTCATCTTCATCCACAACCGGTTGCCCAAGCACGGTCATGTGGCGCACGTAGTCGACTACGTCTTCGAAATCCTGGCGACGCTTGAGTTGCAAGACCGTGCAAATTCCATGGCGCGCCGCTGCAACTGAAATGTCAAAAAGGCGCAGGAACAGATACCGGGCTACGCTTTTCAAAATCGGACATCCCTGCTCGCGCTCCAAATTAAGAACCAACGCATTGCCCAGACACTTGTCCACGAGCGCCGGTAGAAGTTCGAACTTGCTCGCAGGCAGTAGCCCGAGCAACTTCTCCACCTGTCGCGCCACGTCCATGTAGTGCATCCTGAACTGCTGCACCGCCCTTTCGGCTTCTGTCTTGATACCCTTCTCCATCTTGGTCCCTTTCTCAATTCCCACTTTCGTCTGGAAAGCGGTTTCAAACGCGAGTGTATCTTTGATGGCAAGTAGTGTGAGTCGTCGGCAGCAGGCGGAAAGGGCGTCGGTGCCGGTTTGGAGTGCCTCGCAGCGTTCGTTAAGCTTGTCAGCGATTCGTGTATAGAGTTGTTCTTGTGCATGACGCAAGCGTGCCCGGATGGCGGCAGCGCGCGGCGACCGTTTTCGAACTTCGCCGGAGAGTACGTGCACAAGTGTGACTAGGGCAACGGCGTCCTTGTCCGCATCCCTCTCCGCTCCTGCACCTGGGTGTACCGACCACGTAAATGGCCGTAGCGATTTGCGGTTCGCCATCTTCCGCTGCAACCAACTCGGCCACGATCGTTCCATCTCCGCTTTACACACACGTGCGCCACGTACTACGTCTTCTTCCGTTAAAACACCCTTCGCCGGCATCGTAAAAGCACTCAACACTACCGCCACCACCCCGTTCGCCTGGGAACTAAATATCGCCTTCATACCGCCCCTCGAATTACAAATTTAAACCGCGACAGCCGCACTTTATTCCACCCGGCCGGACCGAACAGAGACAGCTAGCTGTCCTGGCAGCTTGTCCTGGCAGCTTGTCCGTCCTCAGCCGTCACATCTTAGTTGCGTCTTGGTTGCGTCTAACCAGAGCCGGGTGCCCGCCGGGTGCCCGCCTTACTGAACCATTCGACCCCATCGGTTGTAGTACCTTCGTTTCGTGGTGGGTTCAACAGCCCGTTAAATTATTGGCCTGGTGTTGGCACATGTGCTGGTGCCATTATTTCGTGTATGGATAATAGCGCCGTCGTCGGTGCCCAGGAGATGGCGGGTGGCATAGATCGTTTGAGTCTGGTAACATTTAATGCGGGCCTGTTGCAGTTCAAATTATTAGGAGTGAGTTGGTACAAGAACCCGCCATTTACGAATCGGCGTTTGCGGAAGATACCATTGGCGTTGCGTGGTTGTGATGGAGATGTACTATGTTTGCAAGAGGTGTATGATAACCGGCATGCATGTTACATTACCGACAGTTTAGGTTGGGTGTACCCGTACAGTGGACGTTGTACGTCGGGTGGGGTACTGGCGCTCCATAATGGCCTGTTAACTCTTAGCAAGTTCCCTGTCTTAGACTCCGCGTTCTATCCCTTCCACCGCATAACACTCGCTGAGAGTGTCTTTGGGTCTAAAGGCATCCTCGCATGCACCATCGCCGTACCCAACCTCGGCACACTACGAGTCCTCAACGTACACATGGTCTCCGGCACCGTCGACCCAGAATCCCGATCCCTCGATGACATCCGTCTCCAAGAAATGATACAGATTGTCGCCTTGGCGCAACAAGCCTCCCTTCTTGGACACATTCCCCTTATTGTTGGCGACTTTAATGCCGGACCCTCCGTCTGCCCTTCCTCCTATGAACACTTAATTGAACAAGGATGGCAAGATGCATTCGCCGCTGCCAGACGTCCACCCACCTACCAATTACCCCACCTCACCACCTCTGCCACCTCCTTCGAAATCGGACCCAGCGCACCACCCCTCAGAGAAGACCCCGACCACTCACCCATCCCGCCCTGCAGCGAAGCCGGATTCAGTACACCCTCCCTCGGCTTCATGAAACGTAACCTCAGTACGCACACGCACACACGCTCTGGGTGACACACACACACCCGCACGGTGCGTAGACTCCACATCGGATACCATTTTCATGTATAGAGCGGTTGTCGTCAACTCGGGAATCCATGGTTCGCATGTTGGAAAAGGCACGGAGTTTGAAGTCTGCAGTAAAGGCTGACGGAGACGACGGGCTGGGTTGGACCTGGGACCCCCGGAACCCTCTCAACATGTTAGGTCCGCATGCCAGTTGCCATGGACTGCGATGCGACCACTTATTTCTGCCGCCGAAGGAACTGGCCGGAGGCTTGGCGGACTTCGACTGCAGCTACGGCGTGATCTTGTTCGATCAGCCCCGTGTGCTGGTCTACTCCAAGTGGCTGAAGAAGTGCATTTGCGCCCCCTTCACCAAATGCTTCGCCAAGTGCTTTACCGCCAGCTCGGACCCAGCAACAAACAAAAAGGCCCCCCTGCTCGTCACGCTCAGCGACCACCATGCCGTCAAAGTCGTACTCGAAAGACGGCGGTCGCACGTGTCCAAGTCGGAACCCGTCGACAGCAGCCGACGGGGCGTTGTATTCGGCGTCTGACTGTCGTTAGGTCGCAAAGCTGCCTCGGTTGGTCGTGAGACTGCCTCGGTTGGTCGTGAGGCTGCCTCGGTTGGTCATGAGACTGACTGTGTCGGTGGTGGTGAGACTGTCTGGGGCGGGCGGGTTGCTGAGACACAGGGCAAGGCAGGGGCATACGGGCCCAGACAGACGGCCCGTATTATGCATAGCTAGATTAGTAAAATTTTGGTGATATGTCTTCTCCAGTGGTGTTAGTGACGGGCGCGAACCGAGGCATCGGGTTGGAGCTGTGTCTCCAGTACGCCCAGAAGGGTTGCCAGGTTCTGGCTGTCATGAGGAAGGAGGCGCCTACGGAGTTGACCAAGCACGAGAACGTGACTGTGTACAAGTGCGACCTTTCGGACCTAGCTGCAATTGACGAGCTCAAGAAGGCCATCGGCGACCGTCCGCTCGACGTCGTCGTCAACAACGCCGGAGTATACCCACCCTCCCCCAAGCTGGCCAACTTGACGCTCCAAGACTATGCCACTTTTCAACAAGGCCTGCACGTAAACGTTGTCGCTCCTCTCCGCCTCGCCCAGCTATTTATACCCAATCTACTCAAGAGCAACACGAAAAAGCTGGTCTTCCTCACCAGCAAAATGGGCTCCATCAGCGACAATACTAGCGGAAGTCACTACTTTTATCGATCTACCAAAGCTGCCTTAAACGCCGAGGTCAAGTCTATCAGCTTCGAGTTCCCCGAGCTCATGGTCATTCTGCAACACCCCGGCTGGGTCCGGACCGACATGGGTGGTCCCAAGGGCCTGATTGACGTGGGAACGTCCGCGAAGGGCATTATCAACGTGATCGAGACGAACAAGAAGAGTGGCATATTCATCGATTACAAGGGAGAGGAGATCCCATGGTAAAATTACAAGGGAGAAGAGCTTCCGCGATAAAAATGTCCCGTAAAACAATACGCGAGAGCAAGCACACACGGGTGTTCTTATTTTCAGAGAGCGCATTTTTTGTATAAGGAACCTTCTGCTCCGTTAGGGGGGGACTCGACCCTCTTGTTGAGTTAGTCCTCGTCGTCGGAATCGTCCTCTTCATCGGACGGCTCCGCTTCGGAGCCATCGGATTGCTGAGTAAGCTTTTTGGCGATGGGGATGACTCTGGAGAGGGTCTCAGCCCTGTGTTCTGCCTCGTCGGTGGTGGCTTTGATCCAGGCGAGGAATTCGTCCTTGGAGATGACGTTTTGGTCGAGGAGTGTTTTGTAGGCCAAGGTTGTAAGATGGGTGGTGGGCGTGAGTTTGCCAAGGCCGGTGCCTGCCGCTATTCTGGCGAGCTCCTGCATTTTGAGGAGCCCATAGTGCTCGGTGGGCAAGCTGGTTTTCTTTTGGAATTCGGCCAGGATTTGGCGGCAGGGCTCTGCGCTCTCGACCGCGGCGGCTACGACGCGTGTGTCCACGGCGCTTTGAAGCTGCTCCACGCTGCAGTTGGGGGGCAGGTCGGTGGCGATGTCTTCACAGACGTCGAGCAACGCACGGAAGTAGTGCGCGTAGGCCATCGCCAGTGGCACGGTAGAGC